AGACTTAGAGAATCAATAATCAAACTGAAACTCATTAAAATGTTGTTTTCTGTGAGTACTGTATAGCATTGTCAAAACAATAAAAGGCAACATTATTGTCTAACTATGTTTTGTGTTAGCAGTTAATACCCCATAGAAGTGTAATTAAGCATTTGACCCTATGGCCCCTCAATTACTTAGTTAATCATATTGGTAATGTACTGTGAAATAGTTATTTAGTCCAATATTTTTTTTTCCATTCTCCCTTTTTTGTATGTTACTTTGAGCTGTGACTATACTTTCAGACATGCTGGAACATTTCTCTTTTGGCCGCCACTGTTGACAAGCGTTCGCCCCAAAGTTGCATTTTAAATGAAGCCAGTGTATAATGTAATATGTCATCAGCCAGTTGTGAAGTGTCTGAATACAAACTGGCTGCAGTCCAGGTCAAACTTGTGTTAAGTTTTTAGTAGTGGTTAAGCGCGGAGTCCAACAGCTGCAGAGCCAAATCCTGCACTAATACAGCATACTGAAACCACAGGCCAGGGACTATAAAGTACACACGGCCACATTAAAGCCAGGTTTACAGAGGGCCAGCAAATGATGAGGGAAATAGTGCAGTTTTTATAGTGTAATCTTGGATCTGCAAGGAGTAAATGTTAAGTCTTAATGTGTAATTATGCAGCATTGTGCGCAAGTGCTGGTAACTTTACAGCCAAATTTATTTAAAGGGATGGGATTTGTATCAACTATGCACAGGTTATGTTTATTGTAAAAGTGCACTATGTAACTTCTCAGGTGAAAGGTCCAAACGCTATCTTATGGATAATGGCTCATGAGAATCATCTTGGCAGGCTCACAGTGATGTGGGGTTAGTTAATCAGTTAGTACTAACTTGAACGTCCCAATGGGTCCTGATCACTTTTAGCAGGAGTCCTCCCAGATGTATAAAACTCAATAGTAAAAAATCTTTGTAATATTATCTATGGATATTTCAGTATTGCTCACACTTTATAATAAGCCTGTAAACTTGTTGTAGTGGTGTAATGAAATTCCCTCACTCTCCTTTCTTCAGTCTGCAGCTGTTAGCTTAGCCTAGGCAGGCGGAGTCATTTCTTATTTATTGGGTTTGCGTTGCAGCTGGTGTGTCTGTGCAGGTCTCCAGCTGAACTTGTTTCTGCCACACTTTTCACTGCTGCTGGATCAGACAGAGGAGTGAGAGAGAGAGTGTGTGTTACATGCTTGTGTATTCCCTCAAGAGCTGGCCTCCACTGCTGCTGCTACCATTTCTCCTTATATGGACGTGGGCTTCTGGAAGGAGGGATGAGAATGAGACTTGAGAGGAGGGCAAGAGGACAGAGGACAAGGAGAGGAATACAGATGAGGGACAGGTGGGGACAAGGTCAAAAGGAGACCTTGATGAGTAAGGGAAGACTGTAAGGACATTATAGTTAGATTGATGTGGGTCATGTGAAGTTGCAGTTAGATCTGATAACATATTTACATATCATGTATATGTTCATTAATGTGTTTTGTCCCTATTTTCTTAAATAAATAAATAAAAAATAAAAATAAAATAAGATGCTTAAATTTTATTTGCATCAATAAAAGTATTATTTACTCTTGATTATACTCCAAAAATTCAGTTGAGAGAAGATGTGAATAGGCCTAATGTCAACTGCACTGACCAGCTCATTTTTCTAGTAAGAAGGCATGACTCATTGATAGTATAACCTTCCCTGTCTGGCCAGCCAAAACTTCACACATTTCCTACTATACTATGACACATAGTCTGGGCCGTGGTCATATCTCTAGAAAGTCAGGTGGGCTGGACTGAAAGACAGATTAGCTAATCTGAGAAATGCATGATCTGTCTGTATTAAAACAAACATGTCTGATTATCATTGAAAACGAAAGAAAAAATGCATACTCCTGCATTCAGCGCTGTTAGTCTGAGCTCAGAGAAGCTTGATTTTGTTCTAAATAAATGAATTAAAGATAGGTAATTTTGTATACTCGTTATCATTATTTATTAGTTCAGTTACTTTTTTGACTAACAAACACTAGCTGGCCCTTTGTCATCAGGGACAAGTGATGTGCTGTTGCATAAAAATTAAGTGGCTATATTTATGTATGCATTGTTCTTCTGTCTTTGACTTTGATTGCATATTTTTGGATTGTCCTGAAAACTATTAACAATGCAGACAAGAAAACGTGTAATCTATATGTATGGTCTCAACTACTGTAAATAAAACTAAAAGAATTACTATAATGAAAACCTAATCAGTTTAAAGAGAAGGACAATCTTCAGTTTAGAACAGAAAGTCAGTAGCCTCATTACCATTATCCTTTTAGATCAATATAACAATGGCAGTGAACATGTCAAATAATGCTGCTTATAGATTAGTTTATTACTAAATACTAGTGCTGTGGTTGACTAAAGAAATTTATGATCAACTAAAGACATCCTGCACAGATTAAAAGATGGCCGTGGCATGGTAGCCTGATTCATCAGCCGGTTTTACTTCGTTACACTTTGAACAAACCATCTGACCTCACAGCCTTAGATTTTGTTCGCTTGACGGTAGGCGGGTACTTTTTATCCTTTAACCAATCGCTGCTATTTGGTCATGACGTATGTAATGCGCTGCTAACGGGGCGAACTGGTTTATTAAGCTTTTCCCAAATCCCGTAGGAAGAAGGGCAATAATGTCTTTCCCCTTGATGAAATTCACCAAACATTCTCTTTATTCCGGCTTTAAATCCACGATCTCAGGAATTGTTGACAACACTGAATATATCACTCTTTGCTGATTGGCTGGTGCCTAAACTTGCACTTCTGGGGTTTTTGCGAACTGTCTATTGTATTTTGAATCCTGACCTAGTTGCTGGGGAGAAATTAAATTGAGAGGAGACACTAGGTGGCGCCAGTCTGGCTAGTGGCATGGTGCCTGTCAGTGCCAGAATGTCCTATAGCCTATATACAAAGAAGTACTAATAAACAGAACTTTCAGGAGTGAAAACTGTCCAGTCATTCCTAAAACTCCTGATAATCTGATACATGCATTCTCCTTACAGCTGTTTTGCTTGTAATTCTTTATAATCTTAATAAAATAGTTAGTCAGCTTTTAAAAACTTATTAATTGACTAAAGGACTGCAGCCCTACTATACAGAAATCCTTTGATAGTGAAACCAATGTATAAACCAAGGTCTTGTCAAGATGGAAAATAAATATCGCAAAAGAAGTTTTAGCGATATAGTAGGCTAAACAATCCAACCTAAATGCTTTGTTGGTCGTATAAACGTTTAATAACTACTTCCATATGTTTGGACAATATCTGATTCCCAAATAGTAACACTTGTGGTATTTTTTGGACAGGAAGTTGAAACATTTACTATTCACATCTGCAGGAAAGCACGAGGACACATATTGCGGCCAGACATCTTATACACCACAATGAAAAATGATATGTAGTTTGAAATAAAATGCTTTACAGTAAAATATAAAGTTGTAGTTATCAATGACCTTTTAAGATAACTGTTTGCACTGTCTGATACAACCCACAAACACCTCATGGCCTGGTCTGACCCCACAAGTCCTTTCTTTTCTGTCCTGTTTCGGCGTTTCTGTTTACATTGAGTAAATATAGCCACCTGGATCAATGCTGTCCCAGAAATAGACCCTAAGTATCAGCTGTTTACGCACTCTGCATCCAGGCTTGGTCTCCTGGAGTTTTTGTCAAAAGGTTTAAATGCCTTAGGTCCAGCAGGTTGAAATGCCTTACATTTTAGCACACTGGTCATGTTTGGATAGCACATAGCTGCAGTGGTAGGTGTTAGCCACAGGGAGTCTGGCTGGAGAGATGACTGCATATGTTAGAGAATAATGTTGACTTTTGGTTTTGTCAGTGCTAAGTTTACACAGGTTTTGAAGGGAAAATAAAAAGTTGCTATCCAGTATTGAGGCTGAGGATTTGTTTACCAGATAATGTTAAAGGAATCTAAAACGATTTACTTTTTGCAGTTTTTTTAATTGTTGTTGGAATTTTTGTGAGTAATGGTAGCAGTATTGTCAATTTAGTTTAGGCCAATTATTACAAAAATGAAAACTTGTGCACTGCTTTTGCAAACTCTAGGAAACACGTTATGGACTACTCATCAATAGAATATATGAAACTTCCAAAAAAGTTATCCATTTTCATATCAACTTTTTTAGACTAATGGTTTGTTATGGCATGTGGTTATAAGTTAAGTTGATATCTTTTTACATAAAGATACAATTTGTACAATTTTGAGGTAAAAAGTCCAAAATAAATATATAAAATTTGTGATTTATGTTTTAAAACCAATTCTGCACTTTGTTAACAACTCCAGGATAGTTTGAGAAAAGACTGAAATATGAACTGATAAACTAATACAAGAAATCCATGAATTTGAGAACATGATTGCAGCGGTCTAAACTAAGATTTTTCTGTACAAAGACAGAATATTCTGTTCTTTGGAGAAAACATTCTATTATAAAAAAGAATAATTGCAGCCTTTAATAATTGCACCTTCTCCAATTGCACCTTCTCAAATTGCGATTTCAATTCTATTGTGATCTATTACAAAGCTGATTTCTTTACTACTTTCTAGCAGTATGAAGTGTGTATTCTATGTTTGTCAGCAACTTTTCCTTGCCAAAAACAATAAATCAAATCTAAAAATATCCAGGTTAAGTCAATACTCCCTGTGAAGCCATGTCTTTACAATGTCTCTAGTGAAAACCTGTTTCCAAATCCTGTAACAAACCACTCTATGGCCTCCCCTTTCCCCCATTTCTGCTTTTTCATTTTGCTGCACACTCTGTCCATCCTCTCCCTCTCTCCCTCCTCTCTCAGCTGCTCCTCCCAGCTGTTCTGTCCCACACATCCCATGCCTAAAAAAGACAGCGAGGGGGCGGGCCTCGGCTCAGGAGGCGGGACCCGTGAACACAGTGGGTAAGAGAGAGCCCCAGTAGGCACATGGTCATTCAGTGAGAAGCAGGCTCTACATTCACTTCGCACCATAAGGATTACTGACCTGACTGGATATTGTCTTGACTGTGTCCCACTTGGATCTGTCTCACCGCGTGTCCTCTGTCTCTCTCCCCCCTGTCCCCTCGCTCCTCTCCCCTCAGGATGTCGTGTGAGGAGGCTCAACTTCACAAAGAGCGGCTGCAGGCCCTAGCGGTAAGTGCAAATCTGTCTTCTATCATCTTGTCTGCAGTTGTGATTAAAGCTGCACTATGTAACTTTACGCCACTTGCTTGTTCCCATGGAGATATTGTTGTTTGGCCTGAAATGTTCCATGATAGACGTAAAACTTTATCAGTCCAACTTTTTTTGTCAGTTGCATGTGTTTTTTGTGACTAAAAAAGTTCCATGATAAATAGTCATCAGTGGTGTGAGCTCCTCTCCACAGATCTGACCTGTGACTTGCCCTGGTGGCACCTCCTGCTTTTCACCATGTAGATAAGTTTAATGTCGTAATGTGGGACTTTTCAGGCAAAGCAATAACATCTTTATAGAGACAAGTATCTGCCTATAAAAAAAAAAGTTTCTCTGTACAATACTCAGGCATATAATTCTTTATATCATGTTGTAAGCTGGACAGAACGTCTCCAAATTGAACCTCGCACTTCGCTTCAGAGGTGTCAATTTATGCCATTTCCATAGACATGAATATTCAGGCACAAGTAGGAGCTGTGAAGCGCCGTTGCATCACTAAGAAACAAAGTTCAAGTTTGCCCAACTTGGACTGTGTGCTGTGACGTCAGCAGAGGCTCATAAAGCATCACTGGGATTTTTTTTTACTTTTTACTCTTTTGATCTCAAGGAAAAAGAAAACATTTGTGAGGAACTTCTATCAAAATAAAATCTTAAAGAAGGCAGGTATTTTAAGGAAATTTGCAACTTGGATTAATGCTAATTTTAGACTAGACGACTGCCACCTGCTTGTCTCCATGGAGATTATTGCTGTTATTGAAGTACAGTCTGGCATTACACATATCCACCTTACACTTAATTCAATTAAAGGATCTTTTATTGCCAAAAAACTGCCAAAACATTCCTATTGTTAGTGGGGTCGCCTCTTTGTAACTTGGAGATAGACAGTCTTTTAACATGGAATATTCTAGCCAAAGCAAAAATATCTCCGTAGAGAACTGCAAGTGGCTGACCCTCCGTAAAAAAGTTACATAGTGCAACTTTAAATGTTAAGATTAATGCAGTTATCCTAACAGAGTTCTGGAAATTGATAGTGTATATTTGAATAATTTACAAAAGTACGTTTTTGTAACAGTGACAGGTGCTTATTACACATTTCATCTTAAATTCAAAGCATGCTATTTATATTTACTGTTTACTATACTGATGTGGAGTACTTATGTCACTTTGGAGTCAACAGCACTACTACCGCGCTGATACTTCAAAGTACATTAAAGTTTTAAATAACCCATTGGTGCCATTCACTGCTAATTTTAGACCCAGTAATAGCTTTCTGATGAGAACGTGGCACATCGCAAACACTTTGTAATTGAATTAGACTTGTCCTCCTCGCGCTCCCTCCTGCTTAATGACATCACCAACTCCTACTCCTGCTGGCGTCACATGGAACAAAGTCACTTCTGTACAACGCTTGTAAAGTACCCTCACTACTAGACTGTTTCTGCCATGGCTCCCTATTCACTCAGCTTCCATTTTTTCAAACCATAAACCAACATCGGAAAGTTAGGAGAAAAGGATCTATTTTTCCTCCTCTCGCAGCTGTCTTGAGGTTTTTAGGTGTACCTTTTTTTCCGATGTTGCATGACCGTCGGTGGTCTGTGTTTTGATACAGTAGCTTTCGCAGAAGGAGGAATCTTTTTCTTAAATACACTTCATTTACCCTTAATAAAGCACCAACAAAGACTTACAGACTTACAAAAGATGGCTTATTAATAGTTGAATGATTCAAGTTTATTAACTGTTTAATAGAGATGTAACAATAACCGAAATATCGTGATATTGTATTGTCAAAAGTTTCACAATATATCGAATTACAAGTCTCTTTGTTTAAATTAAGAGTTATGGTGCAGCAATAGCTAAAAAAAAAAAGACAGAACTACATGGACCATTGTCCTTTGCTCCATTTCAGAGTAGACTACATGAAGAAATAACAGTTCTAAGTACTTTTAAGTCTTAGTTCTTTGGATTAAGTTTTGTCAAGGCATTTATGTAGAAAAAGTAGCATATTTGCCTCCATAAAATATCCAATAAATATCGTACTGTGAGATGTATATCATGAAACTATCGTACTGAGAGATTTGGATTTTGTTACATCCCTAATCGTGAGCTTTCCCACCATATCATGAGCTTTCTCACAATATTGCAATAAATATCGTACTGTGAGGTTCATACCATGACGATATCGTATCATGAGACTTGGATATTGTTACACCCCTACTGGTTAATTAAGGGGTTGTGGTGAGAATTTAGGGTTATGGTAGAGTATTAACAAGGGCTAAACTCTTCAAAGGGTTTGTACCCATTTCTTCTCTTGTATTTAAGCAAAATGTGTCTTGCCCCAGCACAGATATATTGTATAAGCATCTTTTTGGTCGATAAATAGAGTTTTACTGATCATAATCAGGAAGTGTGCTGTTAGTATCCTAGTTGTTAGCTTTACCATGATGGCACGACTCGGCTCTGGTCTCTGAAAGTTGTGAAAAGTGCTTATAAGCTGATTACGTTGAATAATTAGTATGCTAGAATGCATTAGTGAGGAATAATATAATAACATAAACTAGCTCTATTTTTCACATTTTGATGGTAAAAATCAGGTACATGCCTTAAAGTAGTTGCTAAACCCAAATCATTCTTAATAAACTATTTGTTCATTATGAATTTATTCTTTCTTCATGCTTTATTTAGGCTAATTAGGTATTGTTGTTACCAAAGTTTGACTAGTTTGGCTTGTGTGGGACAATTTCAGTGCAACAGTGAGACCAGGGTTTGCTGCCTTGGACTAAATTTGGCGCCAGCAAGGAACCACAGCATACCACATACACGCACATGCATGCACACAAGTACGCGCTTACGCATTTGAACACACAAGTGGGGGAACAGCAGTGGCAGATGGAGAAACTATTTTGGCCACGTTGAAAAATGGCAGTGATACCAGGCACTTAAGGGAAGCTACGGAGTGGAAAGTTCTCATGGGGGACGGAATGGGCATCAGGTACCACATGATGAAATTTCAATCGCTTTTTTATATGTATGTTTTTAGAATCGGAATACCGCAAAACTTGGATTACGGTAATACAGAAGATCTGATATTTCACTCATTCATTTTTCTTAAAGGTGCATTGGGTAACTTTTTGGTGGAGGATCTGTCAAATACTTTTCTTCATGGAGATGTTTTGCTTTGTCTAGAATGTTTCACAGTATGGTATTAAACCTATCTTTTTTCATAGAGACCACGCCAGACCAAGTTACAGGTCAGATGTGTGGAGAGCCAACCACAATCACAATCAGAATGCCTGTTTTTCTATGTATTTTCGAGCTATAAAACCACCTGCAACTGAATGAATATAAGGTAGAGCTGTGGAACTGTGGAACATTCCAGAGCAGTGGCAAATCCATGGATACATGCAGGTGACAGACCCCCAACCAAAAAGTTACATACTACACTTACACTGTGTGCATAATTATTAGGCAAGTTGTATTTAAGAATTCAAGTTCATACAGCTTCGAGTTGGAAAATATGCATATAAATATGGTAAAAAAATATGGTCATACCCACTTGCCTAATAATTGTGCACAAAGTGACTGTGTGCGAAGTGGATATTTTGACCATATCATGATTTTTTATGCATATTCTCCAACTGGATTGGATTTAAGCATATCTGGTGATTCGTATTTGTCGAATGAGGGAGAGTGTGTCATAAGGAGATCAACAGCCTACATCAAGGTGTGCAGAATTACAAGGAAACTTCTTTTGTTCAGCCAAAATGGGCCAAAAGAGAGATTTAACTGACTCTGAAAAGTCAAAAATGTAAAACGTCTTTCAGGGGGATGCAGCACTCTTGAATGTGCAAAGATATTGGGGCGTGATCATAGACCCATCAAACACTTCTTGCAAATAGTCAACAGTGTTGCAAAAAACGTGCTGAGAAAAAAGACGCAAAGTAACAGATTTTTTATTTTATTTTTTTTGAAATGTCAGAAATGTTTATTTGTAAATTTTGAGTTGTTTACTATTTTGACAGATGAAAATAAACAAGTGAGAATGGAAAATGTTCATTTTTCATTTAGTTACGTAATAATTTTGCACATTAGTAATTGTTCAATAACTATGTACACATAGATTTTCTCTCCAGAAAGCCAAAACAAAAAATATTTTATCAACATTTTCACTCATTTTAGCACATCTAAACCAAGTCTGAATTAGCACAAGAACTGATTCAAGTCTAAACACGACCAAAAAGCTGTGTACCGTATGTGGTGTAGTAATTTGTTCCAGTTATGGTGCGTTCACACTAGGATTGGGTATCATTTAAAGGTATACCAGTACAATACGGAAAAAAGTGACTGTACCAAAATGTATATTTCCTTAGAATAAATTGTGTGTCCTGAGAAATTACACACTGGATATATGATTAATACAAAAGGTATTGTAACATCCAACTGTGTAACAATCACACTGATGTTTCCCTACACTATTAAAGCACATTAAAAGCCATATCACATTCTATCACAGTCAATGAGATGTAGTGTCAAATACAAATAAATCATCCGACCCACTTTACCCACTGTCCAGCCTGAACAGTGCACTTAGAATGAACAAGACAAACGGCCCGGCCTCTCTCACTACTTAAACAGATTAGGTTCACTATTACTCCACAGTATCCTGACATGTATCTGAGTCAGCTGAGTGCTGAGGAGACACACACATGGACGGGCCCTCCAGTGGATCCAGTGTAAACAGTAGAACAGCACAAAGATTCCAAAAATGTCTCACAGGCCAGATAAAATGCTCTCTCAGTGTGTTGTTTTTGGGCTGTTATCCCACTGCAAGTAAATGGAAGGAAGACAGCTATTTGGGCTAAGTGTGTGGGGTAAGTTAAATGTATAGGATGTGGTTAGGCTATGTATTAATTAATAGGTTTTGGGTAAGGCTTTGAGGTTGAGGTCTCTGCATCCATCAAGTT